TCCTCGAGAGCCTGACGAAGCTGATCTTCGGTATATTGAGGCATTATATATAGAAGAAGACATGTGCAAAAGATGAGCCCATTTGGACGCGAATTGAAAATGTTGTGATAAAAGGAGGTTGGGGGTGGGCATTGGGTTGTGGTGGATTTTCGCGTTTTTTTGGGTGCCAGAAACAGGGGGGTGCCAGGAAGTGGGTATGTTGACTTAATGGCTAGACTCTGACGCGCAACCCCAAGCCAGGCACACTGGCCCTCTAATAGCTCATCCTTCTGTAGAAGAAAACGCGGTATTGACTGGACCTTCTCCCTCATCTTTTGGTCCATCCTGAGAACATGGGCATACTGCTCTCTTGCAGGCTTCTGGGCTCTCAAAGGTCCCATCCCGTCCGCGAGCTCCGGCATCAGCTGCGCGATGCCACCCAGGACACGAGTATACGTACTTACCGTCAGAACGTCCTCCGAGGCGTCTATCAAGTCTGCATCGTTGGCGTTTCTGGGGAAAGAAGTGGAGTAGTGAGACGGGTTGATGCCGTATGAGTCTGTAAATGGAATTGCAAAGTGATCTTGAATGACCATCTGGAGCCAAACCCTACGACCTACTTCTCTTTGCAGAGTATCATCCCATATTTCATCCCTGGTTTGCAAGTCGAGGCCGCATTTGGTGATCTTGTGTATTCCCAAGCACTCGGCAATTCGAATCGCAGCGCTGAATAAGGTAGCGTTGAGTTGACTGAGACCAAGATTGTGAGCTACTTCGGTTGAGATGACGATGGCCTGGATGGAGTAGATTGAAACATGCTGCAGGAAATGAGCCTTATATAAAGTGTCGACCATGAAGTTGAATAAGTCTTGAGGCGAACAGGCCGGTAGCGTGAGCGGGTATGCATCGCGATGTTTCCAGCTGTTCTGCCAACTCAGGAGCGACGAGGAGAGCACCGCGCTATACAGCGCAAGCCACTGTGGCTGGTCGTATACGCCGGTCGCCCAGAACGTGGTGCACTGCTGCAGAAACGTCGGGCAGTGTAAGGAGTTGTGGTGCCATGCTATGTGCTCCAGGTGAAATGAGATGAGTATCTCGGCCGTGACTCTCTCAGGGAGGAGGGCAAGAGGTGGGACAGTGTGATCAGGTAGGCCGAGAGACGGCGACAGACCTGTTGTCGAGGCTTCGATGGTATGATCTCGTCTTTGATGGCAGTTGCAGTGTAGATGAGGGTAGCAGTTTCCATAGCTTCTACCCCATGCCATGTGCTCCAACGCAGTCACCGTGAGCGAACTGCGAACTCTGGGATGTGAACCTGTGGCTTCGTCTTGTCCCGAGTCATCTTCAAGTCCGATCCCGGACTCAACAAAATTCGCTGTCTGTGTGATCTCAGTGCGTTGCCCCGAACCAGAACGGAGGCCCTCCAGTCTAGCTGCTACCAAATCAGCTGCCCTCCTCGCCGAAGCGGGATCGGTGCTCTGAAGCATGCTGCGCAGAGTCTCGAGAAACCCAATCTCTGCACTATGTCGAACGGCATTGCGCCTCAGATGGACAACTTCGCGGTCGCAATGGAGCCCTAGACGACTGCATCTTGCGCATGGGATCTCTTTGTTGCACTTTCTCTTCTTCCTAGTACACTCTATGGGCGGTGGCACTGTGTCAGGACTGTACGGATAGGCCAAGCGTCTTTCTGGCTGGGGATAGAACACGAACCGCGACACGCGAGGGATTGGCGCTGCGACAAACGCGCTGACATGCTCTGCGTTCAAGATCAACCCTCCAAATATTAGCAACTGCGCATCCGGTTGTGGTCCTTTAGCTGCGTGAGAGGTCAGATTGCATGCGCTGGCAAGAGAGACAAGTTGAGGCGAATGGAGAACTCGCGCAATCATGTTTGGAAATGACTTGTTGAGATTACATAAGCGGATTTGTCTCACTTACACAGTGTGTTGAAGATGTCCTAGCAACAGACCAGCACAATACCCGAGAAAAATCAGCAAAAATGATCCTGAGGGTTTTCCTCAATGTCATCGAAGGTTGGCAAAATGGATTTCTGTAGGAAATTGATAAACCTTTTTTTTGATGGCTCACCCGCTTTGTATTGCGGCTGCTGAGAATCTTCCGGTCACCATCGGTTTAACCACGGTAAGTAGCATTGAGATTTCCCTTGATCAAGATATATTATCACAAAAGTCTGGTAATACAGAAAATGAGCTATCTTTTCTGTGCATCATGATTGAGCAGCGTTGTGTCGATTCCAATGACTTCGCCACCAGTTGTGCTCTAGGCTTCATCGAGACTATAGAAATCGAAATGATCAGCATCGGCCCTTCAACTAACATCCAAAGTTTCAACTTACATGTCCCTTGCTTTCAATCCAATTGCAACTCCCTGCTGCGAAGCCGGCTCAATCATGATATAATTTTTGATGATGCCCGTTCCGTTCCGCAGAGCTTCAACCTGCTGGTCGCTGCAGGTGCTCGGATCGAGAACATAACAGAAATCTTCGTACTGAGGCGGAATCTCGTTCTTGATACCAAATGTATCGGAAGGCCCCTCGGTGGCATAAGTCAGGTTCGTCGCGGTATCAACAAGGCCTGTCGCGATGTCCTTGTTGAAGAGAGCGCGGTTGAAGATTTGATACGCGGATTCCGGCTGATACGACGGCACGGCGTGTCCGGCCTGGTAAACTCGGATGAATGACAAGTTGCCATATTGCCGAACCTGGCCGCCTTCGTAAGTAGCATTAGTCTGCAGAGGCTCGTAGCCCGCACTGGCAAAGTTCTCTTGGTCTGCCCAGGGAATCGCCAGCGCCACTTGCTCTCCGCCGATCCAGTTGCACGCAAAGTCGCGGTCGCCGAACATAAGGGAGACCTTGATGCCGCTGTGAAGGAGGTAAGCGATATCTTCTATCCAGCCTGGCCGGGGGTAGTCTCCGATACTGCGGAAGGCGGAAGACGACGCGCTCGAGCTACCCGTCCAGTTTAAGGGAACACCGAGTGCAGATTGAACGTAGGGCTGATTTAAATATCCGGCTGTGAAGGGGGGCGGGAACAGCGTTGGGTCGATCTGTGTCACGTCGTAATAATCGCGGCCCGAGACATCAAGATAGGGATCGCGAACATTCTCCGTGCAGTATGTTTCCGCGTCTTGGCAGACACTGTTCACGGTCGCGTTGATGCCAATGTTATCTGGGTCATAGACTGCAGAGATTTCACGGCAGACATCAATCCTGTCACGGCAGCCTCCTTCCGCGTAGTACGCATCAACCATGCTCTGATATACCGTCTCGTTGACCGTTTGTATGCCATACGTGTTGTTGAACGCCATTTCCGGGTATGAGGGCCACTGCACTTGGCGGTCAATGCACCCGTTGACGATCAGGAGAGTGTCCAGGTTCAAGATGTATTTCTCGCCTTCGGTCCCATCCCAAGTGCCGTTCGCGATCTTTTCGTTCTGTTCCTGAAAGTAGGCGGCAAAGGCGGGCCCGTACCGGCCCCCATAGGACTGAGTTGCAATACTGATGCGATCGTCGTTGGGGTGATACCCCGGGAACTCCTGGAACCAGACTTGAGAGAAGTGCCATAGAGCAATAGCTGCATTGCGACTTCCAAAGCTCGTAGTATTCCTTCCACCGCTTGCCAATGTGCCAGTCTGGAAAGTGGCATTCTGGGCTGGGATTGGAGATGAGGCGTTCAGAGTCTGGGTGCTTCCGAGTAGGTTCCTGGTCACGTTTCGCAGTGAGTCATATGAGAAGCCCACTTGAACTGGCTGATCAATATACAGCATGTTGACTAAGAAGTGTGTGAGCAATGACCCAGATTTCAATTAACTGCGGAAAGGTGCCCTCACCTTTGTCGTTCCAAGACCATTCACTGGGCCTCGTCGAGTTTGAGTCCGAGTTGATGTAGCATGGTCCATTCTCATTGAAGAGTCCAGGCATCGAAGAGCTGCCGGGACCGCCGTTCATCCATATAGAGAGTGGTGCGTTCTCTGGATCCTCCTTGGCCTCGAAGAACCAGAAGAATGTGTTGATCTCAAAATCTTGCTCCTGGCCAACATCCTCGAGGGTCCCTGGCGGAAGCTTGATGTATCCAGCATAGGATTTCACACCTTCAGTCTCCTCGCACAGACCGGGCTAGATACATGGGTCACGTCAGCTCTTTTTCCCGCTCATGTGCTTGCCCATCTTGCCTCTTTGTAACTGATCTGAATGCCTTCATCGAATTTCGACTTCAGCACCGTAACCCCTTGAGGTGCTGGTGGAAATTGAGCGAGTGAGCGCGGAGTGAGTGCCGCCGCAAAGGCGATGAACGACAGTTGGTTCCTCATTACGAAGATTTCGTAATAGGACTAGGTGAAGAATGAAAGTAGTCACCAAAGAAAGGGTTCCTGTTCTTGAAGTCATCGTCTTATCACTTCGAGTACGGAGTACAGCTTCAATATATATCATTAGATCTTCCCCGCTCGTCAGCACCTTCCTACTTGGGTACACTCTACGCCAGTGAATCATTATCTTTTTGATGCTTGTGCAAGTCGCACCGCCAAGACAGTCGTATTGAATCTTTTCGGCAGCCAGTTTGGTTGAGCTACAAAGTAGCAGGGGCTGGGATGCGGGGTTAATGGGAACACCGGCGATGGCCAAGACTCAAATGGAGAACCAGTGCAGTCTTAGTTTGCACAACGTGAAGAGTTGGCCAATGAAAGCAATGATGCCATGGACGATTCCCGCTTTGAATGCACCGCTGTTGAGGGAAGGTTCCTATCCTTAATTGCAGTTGAATGAGTGACCAGGGGTTTGATCTCCTCGGCAACTACTCACTTTTTGCAGAGGTAATACACCAAGAAATGTCTTGAAAGCTGACCGAGGCTACCGTTGCTTATCATGTTATCGTGACGGTAGCTACACTGCTTAGGGTCTAGGCCTAATATTACTGGATCCATTCAATTTGCTTTCATGGAGAGGGAAATGTATTCCGGCACGTTATTCAGGCGAAATAGACCGCTGCCACTATATTAAACCCTACTCACAGGGGATGGTTACCGCACGTACCGGAACGCTCGGAGTGATCAGAGCTAGACCCGCACTTGAAGACCCAGGTGGGGCTTTGTCCGAACTCGCCGGAGTGAAGTGACACCGGCGTGGGGCGCGTTCCCCCGGAGTCGGAGAGGCGGAGAGGATAGCCGGTCGGAGCATCGGAAGGTGTTCTGGCGGAGCCTCATGATACCCGGATTGTCCTAGGATATGCCGTGACGCTTCGATTACCTATCCGTTTGACACTGTCCGTCTGACTCTGAACGAGATTCCAACTTCCGATGGCGACATTCCAGTGAAGATGACGCCGTCGAATCGCGTTTCAGGGTTCCCCGCAAAAAGACAACTGATGCGGCATGACGCCTTTTCAGTGCAAGATGGGCAAACTAAGTGAACTACCTGCTAGCCATTGAGATTCTGAGATTGACGCATTCACTCAATTCGCCCGTGGAAAGAGGAGGGCGTCTTACAAATGCAATGCTGATTTACCGAATCCAAGTGCAGTGATTGGTCTTTCTTGCCGAAGCAGTGTAACTTATTTCAAGAGTTCTCCTCGGATGAGACGCCCGCTTTAATTCGTCATCCAATGATCTCCACCAGCAGAACGTTTGAGTCAAGGCGACGTCTGATGACCCAATCGAACTCAATTTAGGACGATATAAACACCGGTGGCCCGTCATTCTTGTCGCTAAGAGCAACTTACCACTGGTGTCAGATCAAGTCCAAGAAATCATCACAATGGCCGCGGCTGCTGTTCAAGCTCCATTCTACGCAGGCCCCCCCGGCCAACCAGACATCGGATATGCCCCCATTTATGAGAGCTTTGTTGCCAGAACCAAGCGACGCCAAGAGCAGGAGAATCTGGACAAGTCCTTACCTACAGGCTTCCCTCAGAAACTAGAGTCGAAGTTGGTATGGGATGGGAATACCTTGGCCGAGCACTACGACTGGAACTACGTCTTGACAGACGCTAATAAGAAGGAAATTGATGATGCTCTCGGGCACTTCAAGTGTACGTGAAACACCTCATCAGCGTGCCACATAAGACCTTGGGGTATTCTCTAATGTCAGGCATAGCCACGGGAAAGCCACTTGGAGACATCAGCCAGGAGACATTTCCCCTACCAAACCTTCACAAAACTCTGCGTGAGATCTCGGACGAGATTCACAACGGCCACGGCATCAAGGTCATCCGTGGCGTTCCAGTCACAGAGTATACCCGCGAAGAAAACGTCATCATCTACGCCGGAATCTCTTCCCACGTGGCTCCGATCCGCGGCAGACAAGACAACCAGTTCCAAGGCGAGCCGGCTGACGTTGTTCTGGCACACATTAAAGACCTTACTAAGATAGTCGACCCCCATAAGATTGGAGCGCCGGCCTACACAACTGATAAGCAAGTCTTCCACACCGACTCGGGTGATGTAATTGCGCTCTTTGCACTTGGCGAAGCCGCTGAAGGTGGTCAGAGTTACCTCTCGAGCAGTTGGCACGTGTACAACGAGCTGGCTAGGACAAGGCCCGATTTGATCCGCACCTTGGCCGAGTCATGGAATGCCGACGAGTAAGCTATGCCCTGGAAGGAGAATTGATTTGCTGCTGACTCCCTTACAAAGGTTTGGAAAGGACGGCAGATCATACAGCACCAGGCCCTTGCTTCATCACCAGCCAGCAGCAGACGGTAAACCCGAGCGTTTGATCATTCAATATGCCAGACGCAGCTTCACGGGCTACTGGGGCTTGCCACGGTCCTCTGACATACCCCCCATCACCGAAGCGCAAGCCGAGGCTCTGGACGCGTTACATTTCCTCGCCGAGAAATATGCCGCTCACTTGGACTTTCATCAAGGCGACATTCAGTATGCCAACAATCTGAGCATATTCCATGCCCGTGGAGGCTTCGTAGACTCCGATGAGAAGCAGTAAGTGGTGTACCAGGTCGAAATGGATGTTCGCAAGCTGACGTCAATAGGCGGCATTTGGTCAGGCTATGGCTGCGGGATCCTGAGCATGCATGGAAGACGCCAGATACCTTGCGAGAGAGGTGGGATCGTGTTTACTCGGGCGTCACTCCGGAGAAGTCTGTGTTCCCCTTGGAGCCTCAGATTCGCAGTGCCAGTCGAGGAGAGTTCAAACCTGATGAGAAGGCAGCGCCGATTTCATGATGCAACGTTTGCGACCTTACCGTTCTTAGCGTGGTGCCTTGGATCAAGAGTAGTGTATTCTGTCAACGGAACTTTGAACAACTTTACCAGAATTTTCGTTATTTGCTTTGCAACTCGTTCTCAGAAGGTTCTTAGATAGGCAAGCCGTTGATCTGCGGATAAGTGGAAGGTAACAACTTTGGTATAGAAGATTTATAACAAAGTGACCTTCCGTAGAAGACGTCGTGAAGTGGGCGCACCGTTGTGAAATCATGCATGCAAGAGGTAGTCTACAATACCCAAAGCATGATTGCTCGGATTCCATAGTCATCAAACCAAATGCGAGTGACTGACTCTTTAATCATGGCGGGCAGTATTCGCGGAACGGGTGAAGCCACATGATCCGAAACCGTCTTTCGGCCGCAGTTGCCCCTAAAATGGACGCGAACATATTCTGCAACCACTGCAAGTGATTAGAAAAGGCGATTCTCACCCAAGAAGGCAGCTCGTCTTGGACTAGGCAGGAAAAAAGCTTGGCCCTCGCATTTGCTCCGCCGTGGGCCTCTTCGCACGTTGCATCCCGGGAGCACCCCACAAGACGATCGGCCGGCTCGCCGGAACCTGCCACCGCTACCCGGACGGCACCCCGGCATCCGTCCCTTTGCGGGGGTGCGCCTTCACTCCGCCGACTTGCCGAACTATTAGATGCACTAGTCAGGACGACGACCGCAAGTACGTATGTCGCTGACGACCAGGGCTGGCTACGCAGGTCCGTGACCCCTATCCCCATGCATGTATCACAGCCGCTTTGGCATCGTCTTTATGTATTGCCAAGTTCGGCAAGGTGTATTATTCGGATCATCGTCATCTGTTATAACTTCAGCTAAACAAGGGTCAGTGATTTGGATCTACATCCACTTCGCAGACTCGACAAGCTGGGCCCACGATGGGTACATGTCTGTTGAAGTGAACAGGTCGGAAGGCATCGGGCATTTTTACGAGTCGGCAAAATCGGCTGATCTTTTGACGGAGACTGACGCTATGAAAAGTTTGATGGATGCCCGCAAAGTGCAAGCGCGCCGCACTGCCGCGTCAACTGGATGATGCGCATCACAGCCTCGGGTAAGGTAGTAAGGTAGACAATGTAGTCAATCGCCGAGTGTTGTGGCCTGGGCAAAGCCAAGCGTGCCTCAATGCGATACTATCGTGCACAATATACAGTCTGCCTTCTTTCGCATATGCGATCAAAGTGAATCCGAAGAGGTAGATGAGCAGAGCCAGTCGAGATGATCAGCAACTTAGAGGGTGGCGAAGTCGAGCTTGACATACTTTGGAAAGACCTTGCTCGACGTGCGAGTATGCTGCACTGAAGTTCCCCAGCCGAGACTGAGTGCCATGGTGGATCACCAGAAACCCCAAAATCGTGCTTTCTTTGGACGTTGATGGCAAGTTCGATGTAGCAGAACTGCAGCGCAATGTTCGTTTCATCAGGTATTCGTTGCGTGTGAAGGCTTTTGCAATGCGGCTTTATAGTCCTCTGGAGTTTACGCACAATCTACATTTCGATATCGTGATACAAGCAATCTCAAGTGGATAGATTGCATCGAGCTGTCAAGTTCTCCGTTGCGACACAGACGACAACGTGCCGCAGTCCGAGAGCAAGAGTAAGTCAATAATGAAAGAATTATCAATCCTAGTCAACCCAGAAGGCTTAGGTAGATTCTCGCATTGCCATGGATAATGTGATGGGATTGATCAATTTGCACGTGACAAGGCTCGTTGAAATGTCTTTGAGCACAGCAAGACCCCTCTAGTTGGTTCTCCGAAGACTCGACTGCCTATGTCATTGACTGTATTAGTCAAGCTGAGTTTACGTGACCATGCATCTAATCAATCCGCATGGCTGTGGCATCTAGGACGGGGTGTAACGTGTTGTATCAGAACTGACATTTGAACCAACTTTCTCTCCGTCATTCGATTCAATTAGCAGGCTGATCATATTCGACGTAGCTTCCAGGTCTATGCACTCTTCCTAGTTAGCTGTTGGAAAATTCATTGCTCAACTAAGACTTAGCTGCAAGTGTTGGCACCGAAATCATCATGACCTTTTCAATTGTATTTGAATCACACCTTCTCAACTCACAAGCTTAATA